GACCCCCCCGGGTGCTTCCCCCCAGTGTGGGGTGGGATCCCAAAAAACATGATGCGACCGAGCATTGATCGCGTACCGAACGTTGATCTTCATGTCGCCGCTCGATTTCCCAAGCACCCGCTCAAGAAACACATCAGTGGCAGCAAATCAAAACCAGCCGTTCCCAGCAATAAAAATCAGCCATTCCCCATTTAGACGCTCTATATCCCAAGCACCCCACTCAAGAAACACATCAGCGGCAGCAAATCAAAACCAGCCACTCCCTGGAGACGCTCGATTTCGCAAGCACCCGCTCAAAAAACACATCAGTGGCAGCCGATCAAAACCAGCCATTACCCATGTAGACGCTCGATTTTGCAAGCACCATAGTGGCATCGCAGCAAACAGCTAATCAACGCCCGCCATCCTCCTTGTAGACGCTCAATTATGCAAGCACCAGCTCGAGAAACAGATAACATCATAACATATCCAAGATCAAGGAAAGACCGCGCACGGTACTGGAGCTTTCAGAAACTAGACATTGGATGGGAAACAACATATCATAGAGGTATTGAAAACTAGCCCGAACCCTGCGGCACATGGGATTGGACGACTTCGCCCCGGCAGGGACGACTTAAACCTACCGCTAGTAGGGGGCTTCTAGGTTGGCGCCACAAGTTCTGGCCCTATGTGCCACTAGAGATGTGAGAGTTAAGGGCTAGGTCTATTAGCCAGGGTTTCGGGACTGAGTTTACAGGCGGAGGGTTTTGGCTTGAGGTTTCAGGGTTGAAGCTGTGGAGGTTTCAGCCTTGCAGACTACTGTTTCGCCGTAGTGCGATAGGCCTGCTTTCAGATTCAACTCGCTGTCACGCTGCAAGATTCTGCGGTCTCGTTGGCTTCCCAACAGGTCGGCTTCAACTATGCGCTGGTTAGAATGGTTTCAATGCTTCGAAAAATAAGTAGTAACGTCAGGTAAGAAACGCCAGCAGCAGTTACAATTTTTTATGTACGTATGTAGAGCAACCAGGTGAGCTCAAGTCAGTTGAAGGAGACAAAACAGCTGGGCAGTTGTGCCCTCGAGCCCTAACCTGCAGGGTAGTGCATGCCGCGTGGCACTGGCTGGAACCTGGCGGGGAAATCAAGGCTTCAAAATAATGCCAGTAATGTCGGTGTTCCAGTCAATTTCATTACTATTGCTACAACTGTGAATAAGTTGCACGATCATGATTATCACCGAAACCAACAATCTCCAACCCTCCTCCTACTTCTTGCATAAGCCAAGGTGGAACACTTATTAGTTTGCCTCCAACTGCAGCGATAGCTTCATCTTTCTTTCCACCAGAAGTTCAGCAGTTTTTCAATTCCGTAACCTACTCTGCTACTGCAAGGCCCGCTAGATCCCGCATGACTACTATCCCTGGCTGAAGGTGCAGGGTTTCGGGAGACGAAGGAGCAGGAAGTCCCAACTCGCAGCTCAGAGCCTGAACTGCTGATCTTCATAGAAGAAATCCCAAGGGCTCCAGTTACCTAAA